TCAGTTAATAAATGGCTTCAAAAATTTGTAGAAGTATAGTTTCTGCAGGATAAATAAATTCACAAAACATTGGTTAGTATTTTCACCTTATTTTTCTATGTTGATTTCAATTCAATTGATGTTATTATCTCAGCAAAGAAGTCAATCGATGGTGATGTTATCCAATATTCAATTATAGTACTTTGAGAAACAAGGATAATCATTATTATTTGCAACAATTTTATTTTATCATCAAGAAAAGCATTACCATTTGATATAATATCATGAAACGTAATATTTATGCATAATCTAATACACAAGAGTTCATCAAATTGGAAGAGGCACAATCAAAGCATTTAAATTTAAATCTACTCCTATTTTTTACACTTCTTATTAATAGAAACAATTCATTGACACAAATCATAATTGATTCTTTTTTTTAAAAAAGAATCTTACTCTCATACAAATACGTGTCCCATTGAAAACAAATCTTGCATGATGTGATAAATGAACAGCTTAATTTAAGTAAATGACCAAAATTCAATTAGTATACAATTAAAACAACAAAATGTTCTATTTTAATGTATTCAACTAACAATCAATTTCTGTCTAATACATTAATATGATGTAACACTCATCGCTGTCGAGATTGTTGTATAAATATTTGATCATTCCCAACAGAAAAAAAAAAATCAATCAATTTTTTGTTCCTCTTTTCTTCTTATAATGTATTGGATGTTTTGTTTTTTATGTGATGTAATAAATGGGATTGTTTTTATGTTGGATTATTGATTATGTCAAATATGTAAATTTTTTGTCCAAAGTGTGGTTTTGTTCTATCATTACTAACGTTTATTTTACAATTCTAGCAATCTCAATTATAATTACAATTATAATTTACATATACAGAACTATATATACTAATTGTAATAAATACTTATTTATAATTATAAATTACCTTTCTATATGATATTATAGTGTATTATAAATATCTTTACTATTCATATTATCTTTACTCATTACAACATTTGTATTTCGTTGGTTTTTATCGTCACGGTCGTGTATGTGTGCCATTTTTGAAGTCATGTGACTACGAAACCAAAAAAAAATTTTCTTGTTGTGAACATTGTGAATCTTGTCAACATCACCAGAGGGAAAGGGAGAGAAAAGGGATGGGCAAAAAAAAAAATACTCTTTTACTATTTTCAATAAAAATGTTCTTGAATAGGTTGATTAGGGAGATTGTAAGTTTGAATAGTTTTCCTTGTTGAATCTTGCTATTTCTCTCCGGGTTTGACTTTAATAGTCCCTAAGTTGGTAGTGATTCCAACGGTTTTTTTTTTTTTACTAACGTTGAAATATCAAATATTCTAGCAATATTCAATCTAAATAATTTAATTAATATACAGTATATCTATTCGTCTTTGTTTTATTAATACCTTTAATTTGTAGATCTATCATTTATCAAAATGTGATGAATCTCTGGCTCAACCATATTTCAATTAATTATAATCAAGAAAACATATTCTTCGCTTTTAGTATTAGAACTAATGCGATAGAATGCTGTTGAAGAAGATATGATTTAAAAAAGAAGAAAGGTTCTCCACCGTTTCGTGGTATGATGTTGATTATTACGATAACGATAGTGACATCCTCATAATTCTCTAGCACTAGGAAATACTTTATACAATATTTATATATTTATGAATATTTGAATAAAAAGTTATTCGTTAGATTTTATTTATATATATACGTGATATGTTGTGTGTGTGTTTGGTTGATTGCTTCAACTACTCAAATTCATTAATTATCATATCTTCTCTTTTTCATTTCAATTCAATTCTTTCAAAACAAGCATTTATATTTTCTTCTTTATAATTTAAAAAAACATAATTATATTACATGTACTTAAATCGAAAAAAAAAAAGAAAAATAATTTTCATTCATCGTGAAGTAGTTAAAGAAGTATAGTTGTGGAATATTTTTATGGATTTTTCTTAAAATTTCAGTATTTCTCATTCACACTGTTTAAGCACCTTTTGGAGCTTCTTTGTAAGAAATAGCAGCTTCTTCACCCATAGCAGAGATGATGGTAACAATCAAATCTTTACCTTCGTCAAATTCTTCTTGTAATTTGTCACCCAATTCACCTTCTGGAACTTTAACATCATCTTTGGTGTCACCATCGTTGGTCATCAAAGATAAGAAACCATCATCGATATCCAACAATTGGTATTCTTGTCTGGAAACGTTTGGAACTTCCATGTTGTGGGTAGATGGAGACAAATCTTCCAATTTCTTACCAGTGAAGATATCAATAGCAACTAAATGGACTTTAGCGTGACCGTGCTTACCGGTTTTAGAAGTGGACATATCGACAATTTTACATGGTCTGTTTTTAATGACAACGTGACCGTTCTTTCTCAAAGCAGAACATTGCATTGGGAAGGTCAAAGCAGCACCGGCATCGGCGGTTTCAAAGGTGTGCTAATTTAAAACAATTTAGTTAGTATTCATTGAATCACAATTAATAACAACAATAAAACTGAATAGTATGGTTGAATATTGACTTTGATTTTTAGTGTTGTCTGATCTCCATCTTGGTTGCCTCTTTTTTTCATTCTCAACAAACAAAAAAAATTTTATCCAACTTTTTTTTTGATGTCCAAAAGCAACCAAAAAAATGTTGTCAAAATTGATATAGACAACCACCATTGGGGTTCCCAAAAAATGGCATAATCATTGACTATATTATATATATCATCAATCATCATGAGTATGTTGTTTATCAAAAAAATCCTTGTCAGGGATTTCGATCCTCTTCATCTCTTGTTTGATTTAATCATTCTCTCACTTTAAGTGTTTTACCCCTTGGTGAACTTCTCCCCAAAAAAAAATTATTTCATTCAACTCATCTTAAGATACCCATCCATAACAATTCAGTTTGTTGAATTAGATTAATCAATTGTTAATGATTACATACTTCTTCTTCAGCCATTTTATATTATTTAATAGTTAATAGTTATTAGTTAATGAAAAAAAAAAAGAAGAAAAAGAAAGAAAGAAAGAAAGTGAAGAAGAAGTAAAAAAAAAAAAAAAAAAATTTTCTTTTCAATTCTCTCTTTCTCACCAACAACAACAAAATCTTTTTTCTGATGAGTTTTTGGTTCGTGTGCGCACGATTTTGTTAGAGGGTGCACGACTGTCATGTGACTTAACTATTGGTGTGCGGATCCATTGGCGATTTACCCGGCATGAAAATTTGATTTGTTCAATTAATCATTGGACTGAACAAAAAAAAATACAAAAAAAAAAAAAAAAATTTTTCTTCTTTCTACTTTACAAATAAACAACACATAATTTCAAATATCCTTTGTGATACTTGTTGAGATGATTGAATTTCTTTTTCTGTATCTGTTTAAAGAATACGTAATTCATGATGCTTACATGAAGAAGTTATTTGATTTGTCCTCAATTTATTATTAATGATTATGATTCTGCATTGGTTGAAATTGTAGCCCTAAATTTAGCAAGATCCATGATCAACAATAATGAAATTAATTTTTTTTAATTCTCCGGGAATTGTTCCGTTTTTTTTTTCTTTTTCTTTTTCTTTTTCTTCTCTCCATCTGAGTTTGGATGATATCGCCGTAAGTTTGTGGTTGGGTGCGTTTTTCTACTTTCTCTGGCAATCAATTAATTCTCTTCTCTTCTCTTCTCTTCAAACCAATAGCCGTACTACACAATTAACATCTACAATTGATTTATTCATTCTCTTTATTGATTCCATTTTGATTACGTTTATTAATCGAAAATATTATCCATTAAATAAAAAAAAAAAAAAATTTAATAATAATAATAATTAAAAATAATACAATATTTGATTTGTTGAATTTTCCCACAAATGGGTGGTATAAATAATTACAATATGTGAGGAAAACAGCAGTAGCAGTAGCAGTGACAACAATAATGACAGTGATAGTGACAGTGACAGGGGACACCGTATGTATATAGATCATATATCATCGGTTGATAATTCTGAATTCTTTGGTTGATCTAATTCTGAAATACTTTGTTCTAATCCTGATACTTCGGAATCATCTTGTGCTACTAATTTTCTATTAATCTCTGATGATGAGGAAGATGATTTACTTCCATTGTCATTGGCATTATTATTATTATTATTATGATTGTTACTAGTCATTGAATCAAGATCATCTTTACTATGATTTCTCTTATGTTCATAAACTTTCTCATTTCTCAATTCTTCAATTGGTCCGTGCCACTTATTTAAAACTTCTTCACATCGATCATGCAATTTGAAACTATCACTATATTGTAAACTTTTATCTTTAATAATAGTCTTTAAAACTTTATGCATTTTGGTTTTTCTCAACAATTCTTTATCAATTGGGAATTCCAATAATCGGTACAATATCAATCTTGCTGTCAGTAATTCATCTGCTGTTGGTGGTTTTAATCCAATGGTATCCTTTGGAGTATTTGGTTGATTTCTTTGTATTAGAGTCTTTTGAAGTTTAACTCGGCAAAGCCATAATTGATTCTGCTTTTCCTTTTCACTAAGTACTGGTTTCTCTGTAGTTGGAGTAATTAAAGTTCCCCGTTCTCGTTTGGTAGGACGATCTTCATTATTTTTACCTGATAAACGTGATCCAGGTTGAATTTTCTTTTTATTACTCTTCAAATCTGTCCCTGATGAGTCCACATCTTCGATTTTTCTCTTTTTCCCATTTCCATTAGATCCTAATCTATCTAAATTCTTCCCATTCTTCGAAGTTTTCTTTGTTTCAATGGATTCATCTGATATATCACCAAAATCTGCTTCATCATCCGATTTCAAATTTTTTGGTTTAACTTTGATTTTTCTTGACTTTGGTTTCGCCACGTTTTTATAATCATCAACTTCTTCCTCTTCATCCTCTTCATCCTCTTCCTCGTCTTGCACTTCTTCTTCTTCTTCCTCTTCATCCTCGTCATCATTCTCTTGCTTTGAATGATCTAATTCATCATCGTTATGACCTTCTTCAACTTCTTCCTCTTCTTCTTGATCTTGATCTTCCTCTTCTTCTTCGTCATCAACCTCTTCTTGTGCTTCGGCCAGAGACAAATGGTCAAGGAAATCATCATAAGATAATCCATCAGCTGCTGCAATTGCATTTTTAATCGGAGTGCTTTTACCTCTGACAACTCCTTTCAAATTTTTCATCTTTCTTTTGATATCAAGGGGTATATCAGCCAAACTAGCCTTTAATTGTTCATCGCTAAGATTGTTTATACCTTTATCTGAAATCCAACAATAATCTCCATCAGGAATAAAAATAACACAATAACGTTTCCCTTTCTTAGGCTGTGCTTTTAATACGTCTTCTGGGATTTGATCATCAGGAACAAGAAATGCTGGCCACGGTGAATATCCTGGCATTTTCGCAAGAACTCTTTGTTTAGGTTTAAATGAACGTATTCCTTTTTTAGGTGGCATGTCTTTTTCTGTTTCTATATTCCTATTCTTTGGTAGATAAACTTGGGGGTAATAATATTTCTGTTATTGAAAGGATTGATGGATGGGATTAATAAAAAAATAAATAAAATAAAATGGAATGAAATGAATAAATGGGGTTGATAAATGATTCCTGAGAATAAACAAATAAAAAAAAAATTGATGATGATAGAACCTAATTTTGTTTATAAAATCAAGGAGGAGTGGGTGTTACAACAGTAGAATGTGAAGGTGATGTCGTTGATTAATTCCAAGTGAATAATAATAATAATAATAATAAATTTAAAATAAATAAATATTAAAAAAAAAAAGAGTAAAAATAAAGAAAATTTTTCTTTTTATTGAAAGTTTCACTTTTCTTTATTTCTTCTGATTCTCTTTGACTTTCTTTCTTCTCTGTTCAAACTCTCACTAAAATTTTCTTTTCCCTTTGTCGTTGTTGTTGTTGTTGTTTCAATTGTTGTTGAGGCAAAAAAAAAATAGCAATTGTGTGAGAATCGGCAAGTTTGTGTATGAATGAGTAAATTCTTTAGAAATATTATAATGTGGATACACACTCACTCCCACACTCTCTCTCTCAATTTAATAGATGGATTGGAGGTATTGATAAATAAATAAATATATATAAAATGACAAATGGATAAAGGGTTGGTTGCTTAAGAACAACAAAAAAAGAAGGTGTAGATAATGGTGTGTGTTTATCTCTTCTCTTCTCTTCTCTGTGTTAGTGTGAATGACTTTGGTTGCTTTTTTGGGGGGTCGTTGTCTTTCTACCTGTTGGTTGTCCAATCGCTCAGTTTTTTTTTTTTTTGCCTTTCCCGTCGGACAACAACAACAACAAAAAAATTAGCAACACAGAAAAAACCAAAAAAAGGAGAAACCAATCACTGTAAACAAACAAACAGAAAAAAAAGTTTGAACTAAAATCATGATAAACTTATTAAGGGGATACAATCTTTCTAACCCTAAAAATGATTCAAACTTCTTAAATTGGTAAAACATGTGGATAGAATCAATGGGTTCATCATCCATGTTTCATTACTTTAATATTTATCTTTCAAATCATCAATTAACTCTAATGTATTATGACCCACCACAGTATGTGTAAGAATCGAAAATTGCCAACTCTTGTTGCAAAGTCAAAGTCAACTATCGTATAAATTCAGTAGGGGGCAGACAGTAAAATAGTCAATTGTCTGAACTTCTAATCAAAATATCACTCTGTGTATACCAATTCAATTCTGATAGCAACACCATCAACAACATCATCAATATCATTAGCCATCACCTTCGATCATCAGCATGTTTGTTACACATCTGCCGACTGGCTATCTCTCTCGTTCAATTTTGACTGCTGCATAATCTACAACCCAATTTTTTTTTTTTTCTCCTTTTAAATTTTTGTGTATCAATTTTCTTAGCCCTTTCTCTCTCTCTCTGTCCCATCACAGTACAATGCAATATCTTACAGTCGACAACGTGACCTGGTAATTATACAGGATGTTCAGTTTGAATATCAAGAACACATGATTGTATTGTAAGTATTAAGGTTGTGAAGAATTATTATTTCCAACAATCGTCAATTCCAATATGATATACAAATGAGGCGATTTTTGGTTTTCAAAACTATTAGTATTAGAGATGTATAAAATTTTTGATGGAAATTTCATGCAAATTCTTAAAGAATATATATATATATCCCAGATATGAATCATCTTTGTATGATATTAATAGAACAAAAACCAGCTAACAATACTAGATGAAAGTCTGTATGATATGGTATTATTCATCATTAGACTATCCATTTGGGTGTATATATCGTTGACTGTGAAATAAATTAGAGTCGTGTGTCAACCATACAAAATAATAATAAAATATAAAAGGGAGACAAAAGTACCCCCAAAATCAAATCGTCAAATTTTTTTGAATTTTTTTTTTCTCCTTTTTTCGACTTGCGATTATAGATTACTATAACTTAGACAAAAGGATTGTGTATTTTATGAAAGTTGAGGGTCCTATGAATTTTTCGAGAAGTTTATCTAACCTTTACTAATTTATATTGATTATATTCTAGCAATTTTACCAAATTGAAGAGACTTGGATCTTTATCTGGTTTATTCATTTTTTTATATACTTATTTATCTAATTGTATTATTATTATTACAAATTACTAAGTAATACACTTGTAGATTAATCACAGATTCCCACGACATCATTTATGATGCACGTGATGTTAAACACGTGAGAGAATATATTCTTTACCTCCCCTCTTGTTTTTTTTTTGTTTTCACACTATACTTAGAATACAGATGGCAGTTGCTAGATAAAACTAACTTGAAGTTATTACCGACGTAATTATGGCAATCCAACCGTTGATGATAACCATAGTGGTTATCACTGGTGTAATTCTGACTTGTAGTGAGTTTTAATTATACACCAACAAATCTTCTCTTTGGTCTAATAAACTAATGTCATACCATTATTAATTGAAATGCTTCCCCCCTTGCCCCCCTTATGTTGTAGGAATAGATCGTTTGTATGTATGTAAGTAAGTAATAGAAATACCTCAGAACTAGTTATACATATGGGCAAGTACACGACCAAATTCGCAGCATTTATTTTTTTTTGGTTAAGAAATTTTTTTTTAGCCTCAGAGACACACCCATACAAACTCTTTTTCTTTAATTTCGTTGACAATTCCATTGAGAGGTTTAAAGTATTCTAGATACAAGTATATCCTAGGTCTTGTTATAGTTGTCTATACAGAATAGAGATATATTGTGATTATTAGTTTTATCATCTACTAGAGAATAGTTCAAACCAAATAGAGTATTTAAGAGACTAAACAACGGATTGTTCTGGAATAGTTGGGTTTTACTTGTTAATATAATAAGTCGATTATTTGATTGTTCAAACAGTTGCTATCGATTCAAGTGATACCGCCATTACCATCCTTAACCAAATCAGTTGAATC